TAAAATAAAAAATTTATATCTTTATGTTTGAAGCCTGAAATGTGGCAAAAGGTTGAAAAGTTCAAGGGGGCCGAATACTTTCGCAAGGCACTGTATATGCTAGACACAGCTTTGTCCTCCACGAACACACCAATTCAACTAGGTACTTATCCGATACTTTTTTAAATTACCTCACTTTGATATTTCTGGTTTTAGATGGAGTTTTAGTGATTTTATTGTCGTGTTCACTTGGGAGACTGCAATATGACAGATTTCACGTCACGGCACTGGAATATATCGATATATCCATAACATTACGGATGTTTGTCTTTTTATTCTTGGCATTTAAGAAAAACATCGGAAAAAAATCTTTTATATAAGATAGAAATTGCTGGGGAGATATTATCTTTTTTTAACTGCGTACACTGCAAATATTCCCAGGCACAGTGGTTTAAATTGGCCCTCATTCACACAGATAGTTCTTTGTTTTTAACCCTCTTAGGTCACCGGTGTTTCTAGTTGTTCTGGGATCTGAGAGCTTTCCTTGAGAATCTTCTGTAGTATATATAGCGCTTTAAATTTTATCCTGCAGCTGAGCACATATCCAAGAAGCAATTTCTTGGAAGAAACCACGTTGCTAAATGTCGTAGTAAGCAACCAAAAAGAACTCATAATTATTCACACCAAGCAAATGATTTGCCACAATTGCAAAATGCTGGATTAGCATTGCGTCAGACGGTCAAGTCTTCAAAACAAAAAAGAGAAAAAGAGAGCAAAAAGACACAAGAGGAATGTCAAGCCTCAGTAAAATGACATAAATTGCAACTTTTTTTATCATGAATTTTTGTCCCTTGTTACAGAGATTTAGATACATAACCCCAGGCCAAGTGGAGTGAAATTCTGGCTCTGCCAATCCACTTCACTGCAGAAATCTTGTATATCCGGCTTGTTTAAGTATTGTAACACGTTAATTATATAATCAAGCAGCCAGCTATAACAAAGACTTAAAGCTGGAGTGGATTGGCAAGGCCTGTATTTCATAATCCCAAAGTTATCCAAAGTGGACATAATGCTGAACTGCTCACTACCCATCTTGAGCAAGGCAAAACAGGAGTTGATGTTTAGTCTCCACTATGTCTCCAAGCGTGCATAGAAATGCCTAAGTCATTTAAGATTTTTCAGATTTTTTCCAGGCGGTTAGGGGCGAAGAGAAAAAAGAAAGGAGTTAAGAAATGGACACGTCTCCGGGGCAGCGCCACCTGGGTTTGTCCACTTCAGTCGTGTCGGCAGACCAGTGAGGGCGGAGTTCACACTGGCTCCTCACAAACGTGTGTGTGTGTGTGTGTGTGTGTGTGTGTGTGTGTGTGTGATTTCAAGCGTTACATGAAGGAAAACGACAAAGACGTGGCTAATCCGCGCCAAGAAATACCCCCCCCCCCCAAAATCAAACCTTACTGGGGTTCACAAGACTTGAGCGCGGTGTGCCAGTACTTGGTGTTGGAGACTCTGGAAGAGTCTGGCCAGTCTCTGATGACGGCGTCCACGCGGTGGCGGTGGAAGCAGGGCTGCTCGGCACTGTCCTCCCCCCACGAAAACACGAAACTGGAGCCGCCGGGCGCCGGGGGGTCTGGCGCCGGGCCCGACAGCCGCTGGAAATGCTGCTGCAGGTGTTCCACCATACCTGGGGGAGACGAGAGCCCCGCGTCAGCTCCGCCGCGGCAGGAGAAGGGCGCTGTTAAAGCTCACAGACGCGGCCCGTGACTCAGCAACGTCCTGGACTGCAAATCTCCCCTCCGTACTGCTGCTGTGCAAAGATCACTTTAAACAGAGGTACTGCGGCTTCCACTTTTTAAATAAAGGATGAATGTAATCGGAGGTAGAACACTAGAAATTAAGACTTTACAATTCTATGCAACACACACCTATTTAACAAGGGTATAACAACACACCCGCAATAGGTCTCACTGCCTGATAACCTTGTACAAAGAAGGATGTTTCAGTAGTAACTGAATCACCACATGTGATGGTGTTAAGCACACCGAGAAGTCACAAAATTAACAATTCAATTCGTGAAAGAGACTAGACCGAAAAGGGACCAGGTGTAAAGAATTCACATTTCATGTTGTCTCTTGTTTTCCAGCTATGATAAATGCAATTGGTATCGCTGTGCGGTTTGGTAATTTCAATACATTGACTTTCCGCGTCGTGCCGTTCCTGCCAGTGCAGGTGTTGTCATTTGCAAACAGAGCCTGCCGAGACATGCCTCTCTCGACAGCCTCCGTCGGGGACGGGCTGAGTGTCGAGTCGAGTCGGCAGCGCCCGTCTTCTGACCTCGCGCCGGTCAACCCCGGAGTGGGTTAAGAAGCTGTAAGTGGGGGGTGGGGTAAGGAGGAAAAAAGTCACATACGTCTTCGCTTGAGGACGACTGCTTTCTCTTTCAGGGAGGGGTACAGCGGTTTGTAGGGTTTCCAAGACTGTCTGCGGGAAGAAAAAAAAAAGAGGACAACCACCACCGACAGATTAGATTTCCTTACGCCTTGCCGGTTTCACGCTCACAGACATGGCCCGGGAGTCAGCGGCGTCTTGGACCGCAGCCTTCCCTCTGTACAGCGGCAGAGTCGCTTGCCGAGGGACTGGGGTCAGCTGCAGCCGTTGCGGTCTCAGGCCCCGTGCAGCTGGGGGGCCCGGTCTGGCACTGGAATTCCTGCGCTGCTAGAGGCAGAGCCACCCCAAGGGTTACAACCACCCTCGCCACAGGGGGCGCCAGCTGGAAAACTGCTACACAGAAAGGGTTTCAGAGAGGGGGGCGGCACGGGGGCGCAGGGGCGAGCTCTGCCGGGACCCCGAGTTCAATTCCAGACCTGGGGGGCTATGTGCATGGACTCTGTATGCTCTCCTTGCGTTCAGCTGGGTTCCACTCTCGGGGGCTCCAGCTTTCTCCCACCGTCCAGAGACGCACTCGGGTGGTCGGCTCATTGGCTTCTGCTAAAATGGGCCCTGGTGTGGGTGCGTGTGTGTCTGTGTCTGTGTGTGCCCTGCGATGGACTGGCGTCCCGTCCAGCGTGTATCCTGCCTTGCGCCCATGACTTGCTGGGATAGGCTTCAGATTCCCTCCGGACCCCGAATTGGAAGAAGCAGTCAGAAAAAGGGTGGATGGATTTTAGAAAGGGGGGGGGCATTGATACAGTTTCAATATCTTTAATTAACACAGGTTACAATCGCCACTTCTCCAGTCTTGGCCAGCACTTTAAGGATTGTTCTGACCACTCTCTTGTCATTGTGGTGGCTGTTTCGATACACAGACAAAACCAGAGGAAGATCTCATGCACACCCCACTTACACAATACGTGCCTGGTTAGGACTTGCAGCTCTGCTTGTGCTCGTGAAAGAAGGGTTTTGCTTTCAGCATGTGGTTTGTTTTGAAGACCTGTACTTTTTTTGATAACAGGATTGAAGCTGAGCTTCCACAGAGCTGTTAACACAGACCACACACGTGAAGTACCTTCACTGAAAACTGCTTCACAGCACTTCACACAGATATTAACGTTAAAAAGTAAAATCCGGGGGTTGAATCTTTTGGTCATGGTAGAATCAATCTGAAAGAATCATCAAATTATCATCTCTGGCCTTCAAACACCTTTCTAAATAGTAAAATATAATTTTATTAGTGTTCGTGTTTGCAAGGGAGAACAGCTACATACTGTATCTTCCACCTTCTGTGTAGGTGGCACAGACCAAAGGTACTCTCTACTTCAGCTGTTCTTGTAAAGGTGTTTCCATTCAAATAAGCCAACAGCAGTTTTCTCACAGCGTAGACAGAAACAAAAACCACAAAATTAAAGCAGGTTAATGATGCAATGGAAAGATAAGGGACAGAGCCAACCATACGTACTCTGCCAGCTGTAAATAACTAAAGTACAAAACACACGGTCTGAGGGAGGAATGTTTGACTTCGCCTTACATTTCCCCGTGCAAAAGAAAGACCCAAAGAGATTTTGGAATACAAGTGAAAGTAGACACCCCATACCTGGCCACATCCCGCTCCTCCTTCTCCAGCGCCTCGTCCAGCGTCTGCTTGACCGTCTTGAACCATTTCCGGAAACTGAAGCTCGTTTTTTCTGTCAAGGGAATTTGGTGGGAGGGGGAGTGGGGAGAGAGAGAAAAGGCCTCATCACTTCACCTACCAGATGTGCGAAAAGGCTATGAATATTTTGCCCATGAATGCAAGGGTGTTACCCTTTACGCAAAGGGTGGTGGGAGTGTGGAACAAGCTGCCCAGCCATGTGGTTGAAGCCGATACCCTGGCTTTCTTCATGAAACTGGATGAGATCCTTGGATCAATTAACTGCTAACAACTAAATGGCCTAGATGGGCCACCCCTCGTTGGTACTGTACTTATGCTCTGATGCTCTGATGAGGGCACTGTGGACAGTGCAGGATAGTACTGTCAAGGTGAGCAGCAGCATTGCACCATGGGAAACTGTGGCAGGAGCATCAGGCTTAAACAATAATGGAAAATAACAGCTTGGCAGCCAGCGTCTATCACACTGGCGTTACAGAGAACACGGAACTGAGCCATTACACAAAAATTATTGTTTTTAGAATGAAGTCTTTCAGTAACAGTCTTGTCTACAGACAAGTACAACCACAATTTTACGTTGTGGGTATTAAATTTCTGCTAAGAGTAAAGATATATAAAGAGTTCCTCCTTTACATACACACCAATATGGACAGAAATCATGGTCAGGTTTCAAGTATATTTTAACATGTAAATAAGTTAAAATATCACATAGGACTTCAACTTGCTACCATGAAAACCCTTAGGGTATGACCAGTGGAGAAAAATAAACTAGTCCGTGCGCATTATCCTCTGACAGCAAGTTAAGCAGAAAATGTTCCCTGGAAAGGTTTAAGACCTAATTTGACCCTCACACGGCAAACTGTTTCCCCAACACCTGCCAGCGACACACAACTTCAAAAGGTTATGTTTTCACCAAAAACACCTCAGCAGGGGGAGAAGGCAGTCAGGACGAAACACCCCCCCCACCTCCACCAACTTATAAGGTTAGCCCCAGAAACCTTAACACAGGCCCGGAGACTGACACAACACTTATGGGATTAATCAGTCATTATTCCTCCTCTGCAGGCTTGGTTTGAGAACCACAGAACCGCTTTTTTGCGCCTGGTCTCGCTCTCAGCTGCTGTGATTGCATTCCTTGTACACCCAAGCCAACCGTGCAGCAGCTGCTAAGGCAATCAAGCCCTTTAATTGCCCTTCGGACAGAAGCAAGACACCCCTGCGTCCTCAGCACAGAAATAAGTCCGTTAGCGCGACCTCCAGAGAGCACAGGGGAAGCGTCTTTCCTCAAAACGTCAGCTCTGGAGCACGGACTTTTTAATACCTCCGCTGTAGCAAGGACTCGCCATGTACAGCCGTGGTAGGAAAAGAAAACACATTTGAACCGGCCATCTTCAAACACCACAAACCTCCCAAACCAGCAGAGTTATAGACCTAAGGGCCTGAGTCGGCAAAAAAAAAGCCCCGATTTACAGCAGGCATCTACCACTAAATCACGGCACATTAAACAAAAGCAGTCTAACTGAATTCCGCCACTTGCTTTTATGTTCTTTAGAGCGAATTCTTTTTTTTTTTTTTTTTAAGTTTACCTGTTGTCACAAGTTTTGACATTTCTTACTCAGGAGAACTAAGAAAGGGACGCGTCCTGCAACACTTCCTACAGGCATCTCATCGCCTCTCCATGTCATGCTTATCAGAGGCATAGTCATTATGTGGCGCGTAATAACTATATACGAGTTGATGTCTTTTATGTAGTTTAACTTATTTTTGAAGTAATGTTTATATGTCCTAGTTTTAGTTCTTGGGGTATAAGGCCTAGCTGCTTGTATGCAAGACAAATTTCTGAGAAATCAGACAAAGTATTAACGTCTTTTATCGTAGGCTTAAAACGTTATTTTGATAGAGCTGCACTGCAATTGCATGTCAAAAGTGTTCTGCTACACAAACACGCATGCAAAACCCTGCTGGCTCTAGAATGAAACAGTCGTCCATTAGTAGGTTGACCATCTCCCCCCGTCTTCTCTCAGATAGAAAGGTTTCCAAACCCGGCCATTCTTAACCCTTACCCTGCTAATCCAGTTGGTTTCCTCTCATTACCAAAGCACCTGTGATTGAAGAACAAAGCTAAGCTGTCTGGGTATTTATAGCTTCACATACAGTCATTGACGTGATGTGGAATGCTGCTGAACAGACGCCACAGCATTTTTGTCTTTTCTGAGGCTCTGATTTCAGTGGCGTGCTTACCCAAATCGGGCGTTTGGCTATCAACCTCTGAAGAGATCTGTGATTAGCCTGCTCCACACACACTGGTGCGCTTGCACTGTCATTTCTTACATTTCAGCATCTGCTTATTATAGTTAAAATTTTAGTTTAGCTTATCGGGTAAACATATTGTTGTCTCCCCCCCGAAAGATGTTTGCAGATTATTACTGAACTTCGTGCAGGAATGACAATCTTCCCGGGCAATACTGTTCATTCACTGTACGTTGCAATCCACTCCACTCCCCTCACAACACAAACAATGTTTGAAACTTACCTTCTAAACGTGAAGAATGTAAATTTGTAAAATTGTAAATTGTACAATGTAAATTTGATTTAAAAAATTGTTTGTTTCTAATTGAAAACAGAACATAAGGATACAGACAGTGTCACATGTAATGGCACAGGACAATCACAGACACATGAACCTTTCATTATTTTTTATTTTGCATGCTCTGCGAAGAATTATAAAGGTGATGGCCCGGGAGACACTTAGACGAGGAAACAGCTAATCAAACCTTTTGAAATCCCAGGGAAGTATTCAAATCCACAAAACCACAGTTCCAGTGCTTGGGACATCATAACGTTTAGGGATAAACTCAATTTGCATACAGGTGCCTTTTTTCTTTTACTTCAACACTCCTGTGTCCGTACGGTGGATGCTCCGCAGTGTCAAAACTTGCCCAATTACAATCCTTCAATTAAAAGGTGTTGCCATGAACGTTTACTTGTTTTTGCGATGATACAGTACTAGTGCTAATAACTAGAAACAGAGTGCAAATCGACGATGTGGGCATCGTTTTCTCTTATACCAAAGACTAAAGAGGCAAATCTAAAAAGCTTACATCCTAGCCTACAGGGCCCCAATAAAAATCTCTCATAGTAGGAGTAATCGCCCCAAAAACCCGAGTCCTGAAAGCTGGGATGAGGCTGAGAGTCATTAAGAATGCCACTGTGTTTGTTTCCTTTTCTCCTGTTGCCGCACTTACAGAAACACTCCAAATGAAAGGTGGCGGGTCAGGGCCTGACACTCCTTCAGATTAGTTCTCTGCTTGGCCCAACACGCCCAGCCTCATGCTCAGTCCTGCCTTTAATGCCACCATTAACACCTCACGTCAGCAGCTCATAAGTGCCACCTAAGTCATTCAAAGAAAGGCATTTGTTACTTTTACTTTCCAAGTTCCTGGCTGTTGTCCTGGCTGGACAATTCTTTCCTTTCAAACGCCCGACTCTGTTTTGCAAGTTGGGACTGCTTTCTCAGAGCCCGACACTCAGACACTGAACTGTTCATTAGCTGGAGGCTTCTTCCGCCTGCACGGAGATTCACCTTTCTCCTACCAGCCTCCCCCAGTACCAGTACGGCACAAAAAAAAAAAACGATGACGCGCGACTTTAATGCAATGGGGATTTGTACTAGGACCACCTCTCTTCTTAATTTATATCACGAGTATATACTATAGAGTTTGCAGATACCAAAGTTGGAGGTTTGGGAAATGTAAAAGCAGCAGATGAAATTCAGAAAGATTTCAATAAAATTCACAAGTGGGCGAACGCCCGTTTGACGACGTTTAAAGTGCTGGGTTTTGCAAGCAAGTAGCAAACATGTAAATTATGAATACGAAATGGAAAACAAGGAGGTGGAAGAGGCTACCTATGACAAAGAACTAGGTATTTAAGTTGATGCATCATTTACATCTTGAGACACTAAGAGGGAACCAATTAAAAAGGCAAACAAAAATGCTAAAATATACTGTATAGTTCAAATTCCATAATTTCAAACAATATTATGCATAAGTGTATAAAGGACTAGTAAGGCCTGATCACCATGTTACAGACAAGACAGTGCTGCTCTGGAATGGGTCCTGAGAAGAGCAAGCGGATACATTCCAGGGCTCAAGGGAATATCCTACACGGACAAAGGAACTGAACATTTTTAATCTTGAACAGAGGGGACTACAAGGGGACTTGATCCAAGCATTCAAAACGCTCAAAGCCGCTGTCAGAATCAACTCAAGAGGACTTATTCACAATGAACTAACTGGAGGGCACGTGTCGAAACGGCACGAAAGCACATCTAAACCCAAGAACAGGAAGCACTTCTCTGCCCGAAAGGCTGGGGGAGTACGTCAATGCCCTGTTCCAGCTCTATAATGTTCGTGTTCCAGTGACAGTTGAGAGACACCTACTAATACGGACAGATACCTATTGGAGAATTCTGTTATTTTAGCGCAAAGAACAGCCATTCTGGGCTTTCTTTTAAGGTGATTAACTTGAAGACAGGTTCTGCCTGCTGTAGCCCATCATTACAGCAACAACACTTCTTTGTGTGATGAGAAAGGGCAGTTGAGAGCGAACCATCCTGCACGCTCATGACCCGGCCCAGAGGCTTTACGATACTGTTCCACAAGAAGACTCAACACAGTATCTTGGGAAAAAACGGTGAATGGCAGGACATAACACAGACAGAAAGACAGAAAAGACGGAGTCTTACAATGACTGCATACGTTCATTTCCTTTTTCATTTCGTCATACCCGTTAAACAAGAGATCATATTTAAGGCATAATGTGGTCTAGGTGTACTGTTCCAGCATCAACTAATCTCTGAAGGTTTGGTATCCATGTCAACCCCCAGTTGAACTTCTAAACCACTTGCGTTAAACAATGTTCCACTCACGTGGCTGCTAGGAGCTACTGTGACAAGATAGTTCCTGAGTGTCCTGTCTTTGTGGTGAAGGCTGTCAGATTTCCAGGAACAGGGCTCTGCCACCCATGTGGTGAACACATCAAAACTCAAACAAGTGGTTCAAATAACAACATCAGAGGTGCAGACCTTGACAGACATAGGAGTGTAGACCAGTGTCCCATTGCACAAAACTATCTAAGAAACAATGACATTATAATTGTCTTTCTTTGTGTAATTCAAAAAGCAAACCACTGCACTTAGCTGGCACAGAGCTAAATACTTCTAGCAGCAACAGCTAACAGTTAGTTTCGAAAAAGTAGGATTTCAAGGTGAACGAACTACAGCTGCAGTTCCATTTATTCTTCTCAATGTATTTATTCTGGACTGTAAGATGGTCCCTGACAAAAAAAAAACAAGATTAAATGATAAAGAGGAAACAAAGAAGACTTCAAAAGAAAGTCTTTAAAATGGCACTTATGTGGGCCACGTCTAGGTCCGCACAATTAGGCCTCTCCCACTCCCTGGGAAGGCAGATGCGCCAAACCCAAGATGCCCCTGTACCTCTCCTGGTGTAGCACATTGACACCTCAAGAAGTGACGACACCCCTTCAGACACTGCTTATCCCCCCCACACACACACATTCCTCCATTTCACAGAATGACGGGCCGGTGTGCGGTTTCCATGACCACAGTAACCCCCACCACAACATTACTTTGTGTCGCTAGCTATTGTATAACGCAGTCAAGTACACAAAATAGTCAGTACCGAGACGTGATTATATCGTACTGTATATAAATATATAGTATTTAAAACAGTATCGAGACACATTCTTAAGTATTTAAGGCCAAGGGCAGTCTGTGTATTTGGACGAATGGCTGCCATTTTTGTTACAGATGATGGTTTCATCGGTATTTGCAGAAATGTTCACTCTGTCAGGGTGCTGTGTTAAACTAGGAAGGAGGTAGGGAACCAGGGCTGTCCACAGCAGTCAGGGAGAAAGATCTTGATAAAAGCTAAAAAAAGCTTAGTCTTGTTTCATTCACATGCTGATCTCTAGGTGTAGAAAACTATACTGACCTGTCAAACATCCGTATAAACAATATTTGGATTGTGTGCTCCTATAAAAATATTTTTTCGTTCACAACGAATGATTTTTTAACTAAAAGTTTAGATTATACTTTGATGATTATATTACCATATTTTGGGGGGGGTTTAAACTAAAATTAAAAATAAACATAACCCATTATTTTTTAAATCTTCAAATTAAAAAGCAAAGTTAAAAAACAAAACATTTTACAACCTTACTTTAAAAACTTTGGCAAACGCTCATAACGTTAATAACACTGTTCCAGAAATCGGTCTTCCGAGACAGCGGTTGTTTTCATTGTAAATCTATTTTGGAGTAAAACTGAAACTGCAATTTAAGAGCTTAAGTAACATCAGCCTAGTACTGCCAAGGGCGAGTTTCTTAAAACCTTCTGAAAAAAACAGTGTAAAGCATCAGAGAGAACATCAAGACGCCAACAGATACGGGCGACACAGTCATACAGTATTAGAGTTCCTCATACTTGGAATTCTAGAACTATTCCATTGTCTTATATACAGTTTGTGGGGCTGGTGCTCCCCTCTATCAGACACTCACGCTCGGTAAGAGAAAGGGGTACAGCCTGCAGATCACTGGCGTCTCTGCATGTTCGGGTTTAGGTTTGAGCTGAAAAGAAGCCTCTTTTTTTCCCCCCACCGAGCAAGGACCTCCCTCTTTTTCAGCGCTGTTATCTAGCCGAAAAACCATCTAGGAGCTAATGAAGCGATAACGAACAAGCCACAGTACATCGCCAGCGCTGGACAGCCGCTATCAGCGTTTGTATTCATGTTATCGCTGTGATCAAGGCAGGCAGTGTTGGCGCTCACTGCTGCTTTGACGACTGTGAAATTCGGGCTTCACAAGCACTGCTCGCACCCCGGCAAGGTCTGGAGCTTGAAATTCAACAGTCGAGACGACCAACACCTTCCGGGATCATCCGCTTAAAGTCCCCCGGAGGATTTGTGGCTCTGTGCAGGATCCACACACCTGTGCAGTCAGCCCTTACTGCAAACGCTGCCCCACCCCTTAGCCTAAGCCTCGCTGGATCCCTTTTCGCAGAACCTGTTCGATGACTCCACAGAGAAGCCCATCCCCACTGCAAATGAGCTCATTTCAATATCCTGCTTCTTCATGGAAAGCAGAGTTCCCTAAGGCTCATGGCAGTTGGAGAGCATCCACTCCTGTCATGGGGCAGCGAGGAGACTGGTTCAGTCATGCCCTCTGTGGAATGCGTGCCCAGCTAGGGCTCGCTTCCCCAGCTGCTATATTTCCCCTGGCTATGGACTGCAAGCACTCAACTTCAGGACAGACGCAGAGCTGAGACAAGCCTTTTCAGCATAATCCTTGTCCAAGACCCGAATCAAGAACTCAAAAGAGACTGAATGCTTAACCTGCACTGGGCACCACTGTGAGGGGTGAACTTGTTGAACTCGGGGTATGACTGTCGCATAGGCTGTGACGAGTCCTGGGTTCAAATCCTGAAAAGGCTCATTTGGCCTGGTTGTGGGGGGGCCACAAGCTACCCAGATATGTTGTTAAAGCTGATAACCTTTCAAGAACGAGCTGAATGAGATCCCTGGAACAATGAGCTGCTAACTCCAAAATGGGCTGGATATGCCTCTTCTCATTTTTAACCTATCACATTTTTATGTTCACTGTACACAGCGGTAGTGTCAAAGGCTAATATTTCTCCCTTTGCGTTACTGTGTAACGGCCTGTCTTCATTAAATTGTGAAACCATACAAAATCTAACATTGCAGTCAATGATGCGTCTTCAGTTTCACTGTGCTTTATTTGACAGATTCCAGCCCTGTGTGGGGCAGCCTGCGCGCTCCAGTGCCCCCCGTCCTGACCAGTGGAGCACAGGGGAGGCATCAGCGCAGCTTGGCTCTGGTGCCAGCAGG